TCTAACAGCAGTTTTGTTATTCTACTGACAAGCTGTAGCCATGACAAATTTCCTACTAAATTGCCAACAATGGAGGTCATACATAATCACGGTCCTTGAACAGAAATAAACGGTGGCTTAGATCAAGGAGCTGGTAGCAGAACAGATGGAAAAAAAGGTGAGTCTCTACATTTTGCAAGGAGAGTCAAGGGGGGACTGGCAAGAGCTGGGTGCTGGTGTAAAAAGTAGGAATGACTTCATCATTCCTGGTCACAGTACCCACAGGTCATAGGTACCGTTTGCTGAAGAAGGAAGGCCTCGGGAAAGGTCGACCTGAGAGAAAAACATTGTTTAGGTGTTGGATGTGTTAAATCTAAGTTGCTTAAAGACAAACAGGCAAAGGTGCTAAGAAGTGAGTAGAGTGTTTCTAAAACTCAGGGGAAATGTCTTGGCCATACAAAGGTGTGAGAGATGGGAGCTTAGGGTCCGGGGTTGGGTGAGCATTAGGAAATAAACATGGGTGGGAAGGGAACAGGTACTCAGAATGTTCAGGGATGGAGAAGGAGAAAAGAAGACTAGTAAGAGAGGTCAGGCAACAGCGAGGAAGGGGGAGCCACTGGGGTTTCATGATAGCCATGGAAGAAACAGTAAGAGGCAGAAGCAGTAGCCAAGCAGAATCGTCACTGCCCCTGCTACCCAAAAATAACTGGACATAGAAGGCCATCCATTGCATTGTCACGGGGAGGCCACAGTAACCCAAAGTGAGAATGAAGGTCTTGTTGAATTTAAATGAGTTCAGAGGGGGAATTTTAAGTACAAGCATGAGAAACAGAGGAAGCAGACAAGAGGGCTCAACTTTCTCTTCCCAGGCATGAGACGCCCCGGAGGACCTTGAAGAGCAGTCAGCACACAGTAGCAGAAGGGAAAACGCTGGTTCAGGGGCAGATACAGATCTGGCCATGTGGGAGGGAAAGATGGCGCGTGCCCTTCTGATTGAAGTAGGAATGCACCTCTGATATCCCCCCAAGTGGACTGAAGGAGATATTGGGGTTCAAGAATGAGACCCTCTCCACAGGAGTTTAGGAATGAGTGTGCAAGTACAATGGTAGAGAGACTTCAGAGCGAGTGCAAAGACTGACTTGAGGTGGTAGTTGTGTTTATGACCACAGTCAGCATGGCTGTGAGAGTCATTTCTAGAAGTGTTCAGATGTCCCAGTGCACATGGATGTGGTCAGTAGGATAAAGGTGCAGTTAAAGATCTGCAAGACCAGCATGAGGAAGTAACAGAGGGGGCCAAGAAGGAGGAGGCCGAACACTAGGAAGTGAAAAGACAATGGTGAGGCCTGAGACAGACTCGACAGCAGCTTGGAAGGCAGCGAGCATTCTTTACCTAGGCTAATGACTGCTTCAGAACCAATGGGAGAACGAATGGAAAGGGTAGGATAAGATCTCAAGTAAAAGCTCATCATTTTCCTCTGGGAAATATTTTATTCCTACAATAAGATTTAATTTGATAGAATGGGAGAAGCAAACACAAGATTAAAGATAAGGGTAGCAAAAAAAAAAAGTAATAGCATCATTGTTTGGCTGCGGATGCAGTGAGACTAAAGAATCTAAGGAACTGAGTACAGAAGGGAGTTTACTGGACAGAAAGGAGGTAGTGACCAGAGGCAAGGACACTTGAAACAGAGGCAGAGGAGCTGTGAATTATGACAAAGATGCAAAGCTGTGAAAGCAGGGTGGCGTGAGGCAAAGTCACTGGGAATAAGGAGCAAAGGAACCAAGAGCCCGGGGCCCAGGAACAGACACAAGAATCACTAGAGCTGCATGGGAAGAGTGTGAAGAAGGAGGTACTGGAGAAAGAGGCAGCAATGGAATTAAAATCTTCGTGGAGCGAAAGGACTGACTGGCACCCTGTAGATGGCTGTAATCTGGGGGAACAGGTAGGATTCTGGAATGACACATGGTTGGTGAATACCTGTAATCTCCACACTAGAAGGCAGAGGCAGAAAGATGGAGAACTTGAGGCCAGCCAGGGCTACATAACAAGATTCTGAAAAAAAAGAACTAGAGGGAAGAGAGGGGGTAGGAAGGGAAAGAAAGCAGAAAGAAGAAGAAAAGGTTAGAGGACTTTTCTGATGTTAAAATACAAGTTCTAGACCAGTGGCTCTGAACTTGTGGGTTGCAACTCCCTTGGGGTCACATATCAGCCATCCTGCATATCCGATATTTACATTATGATTTATAACAGTGGCAAAATTAGCAATGAAGATAATGCTATGGTTGAGGGTTGCAGCATTAGGAAGGTTGAGAAACACTGCTCTAGACAGTGCAATATTTAGGTTTGGAGAGTTTGAGAGGGGTCAGAATCACCCTGAGGCCTTAAAAGAGAGAATCTGTGGGGGCAGAGTGTGGAATCACAGTGGTATTAAACACCGACGTCTCCAAGCAGATGACAGAGCCGAGTGCTGAGGGGACACGGATGGATGACATCACTGACTCCGTCACTTCCATTTTCTCACAATTAACCAACTCTAATCAGATTTCTTCCACCACCCTTCTGAAAATGGTCCTTTTAAGATTATGTTCCAAAACCAATGGCTCTTCCTCCATCCTCACCTTCTTGGACCCTAGCACACCTCTGTCCTCATCTTCTTGGACCACAGCACACCTCCATCCTCACCTTCTTGGACCCCAGCAAACCTCTGTCCTCATCTTCTTGGACCATAGCATACCTCCATCCTCATCTTCTCAGACCCCTGCACACCTCCATCTTCACCTTCTTGAACCCCCGCACACCCTAATCCTCACCTTCTTGAACCCCCCCGCACACCTCTGTTCTCACCTTCTTGGACCCCCGCACACCTCCGTCCTCACCTTCTTGGACCACAGCACACCTCTGTCCTCACCTTCTTGGACCCCCGCATACCTCCATCCTCACCTTCTTGGACTTCCGCACACCCCAATCCTCGTCTTTTTGGACCCCTGCACACCCCCGTCCTTACCTTCTTGAACCCCCGTACACCTCCATTCTCACCCTCTTGGACCCCAGCACATCCTGTAAAAACGCCGCCTTCCTTCTGAAAGCAGTCTGTTCTCACTGCTTCACCTCTTCCTCCTCAGTCAGCTCTCCTCACCCCCTTTGCCGGCTGCTCCTCCAGGGTTTTGTTCCTAAAGACTGGCATCCCCAGTCACAGGGCCACTTCCCTGTTTCACCTCCTAGCGTACCTGCTTAGCTGGAAGCAGTTCCCACTTCCCCACCAGGTCGGTGTCTGGGACTAGATCCTGATATCCTCCGCATTAACAAGGGTGAGCTTGGTGAAATACATCCAAGTCTTTACACATTGCTAGTTCACAGTGGAGCTAATTTTACATTGAGTATTGTAGGGATTCTCACATTAGGACACAAGATAGCCCTTGGGTGACATGAACAACGTTTTTGCTCCATAAACTTCCTTGAGTTTTTTCAGAGTCATTTTATAAAGGTATGACAGAGACACAGAATAAAATACTTCTCCTATGTAGGGGTCCTTGATTGAGATAGGGTCCCGCTATGTAGCCCTGGCTGATCTTTTTATACAGCCAGGCTCACCTAGAACTTGAAACACCTTCTGCTTCAGCTTCCATGATATAGCATGATCTTCATGAATATGAACATGTACCAACTGTCTTAGCTACCTGCTTCTTCTTCCTTAGTTTCCAAACTGAGTTTCCAAGACTTTCTAAGGTCACCTTGAGCCCTCAGTCCCTCAGCCCTCACACTGGTTGGCTGGCTAAGACATAGCCCACTGAGACCAGAAACACTATGGGAATGAAAAGCACCATGCCTTCTGGGTAAAAACCAGGAATTCTAGAGCCAGCCTGGCAGGGTGCAAATCCCTTATCAATACTGAATGGCAATAACAATATAGTTATTATCAAGAGGCCTGAGAAAGTCATGTCCCTGGGATTATTAGCTAAATATGGATATAACTGTACCTACCTCAGAGTCTCAGTGAGGAGTGCCATGTGTTTCCTGTACCTAAAGACTTACAGGTTTTAAAGACTACCAGAACTGGAAAGATGAATGATGCCATTCATTACACTTTGGCCACACTCAGCTCCTGCCTCTCGGGAGCTCATCACATATCAGGGCTAATAAACGGATGAACAAACTAATAAATAATCATATCCACATGAAATAGAGAGGGTATCCAGGCTACCCATGCACACACCCAAACTCACAGCTACACCACCCATCTAACTTATGAAAGTCAGGCAAGTAAATTCCAACACGGATGCTGCCCTTGAAAACAAACATTTCTGGTCGCTTGGCATTTAATACTTCTACCATCACAGGCAGCAAAAAGACGTAAAATCACAGGACATGCAAACGTGCACAATAAACTGATTTAAAGAGCAACACTAAGTCCTTACATGGGGCTATAAAATTGAGATGGTTGAAAATTATATGGAGTACTGCCTTCCTTTAAGTCATGACTCCTGGAAATAGTAAAACACAAACAAGCTAAATTCTCAAGCAGTCTGCAAGTCAGCCTACATCAGAGCAGAAACCCTCTGTCCTACACAGAGAAAAGGCAAGGGGAAGCCATAGGTGGCCACACAGCTTGGGAATTCTCCTTCCCTGCCCTCTGAGGAGAGACTTGCCCCAAATACGATTGTCTGAGGATGGAGGCAGAAAGGGCAGGCCCTTCAATTCCTGAAGGGAGCATGGCACAGGCAGTTCAAGATGCCATCCGTCCTCCATGACTTACAGAGTTAAACCCAGTTTCTTCTTCCTAGGAGCTTAAACAAGTTTCTTGGGCAGAAGAAGGCCAAGTTTGATTGACCTCTATTTGACAGACCCAATGACATTCAGAGTAGCCTACAAGATCACTGGCTGGCTGACCACAGGGACCTCATTGGGAGGGACCTACTTCTAGGTTAATGGATGCAGAGATGAATGCCTCGGCCCGGCCGGCCGGTCTTCCCCAACCACTGGTCCACCCGGCCCCCAGGGCCCACCCACTTGCCATACTCACTCCCACTCCTTTCGTCGGGCCTGCGGGGTGCTCTGCATCTTGTGTGCCTCGTGGGCCTTGATGATGTCCCGCTGCTCGATGAGGCCCCCACGCCTCCGCTTCATGACCTCCGGGCTCACAGGGAGGAAGGTGCTGGAGCCTGCATCCAGCATGGAGCTGCCCTCCCAGCCCGGGCCCTCGCCCTCCTGCACCGGGAAGAAGTTGTCGAAGCCGGCCATCGCAGAGCGTGGGGAAGCGGGCAGCATGCCCACCTCGTCGGAGGCATCGGCCTCGAGCAGGGCACACTGCTGTGGCCGCCATGCCTCCTCCTCGGGCAGGGCCAGGACGTGGCGACGCCGGCCAGCAGCCCCAGGCTCAGGGCTCCCTCCCGTAGCCGGGCACAGGGCAGGCTCGGGCAGCCTTCGGCCTGGGCTCAGTCCACGCATCTCGGGCACCATCACAGAACATTGCTCTGCCAGGGAAAGGGTGGGCAGAGACAAAGGATGGGGAGGAGGAGGGGGGAAGGATCATGGGCACAGGGAAATAGAGAAGAGAGAGATTAATGACACCACCCTCCAAGGCTAGGGGCTGCTTCCCAGGCCTGGCCAATAAACTGGCACATAAGCAGAACTTGGTAAAAGATGCTAAGATCAGTAGTATCGACTGTAGACTAGTCTGGGTACCAGGCTCACTGGGTAGCAGAGTTTAAGCAAAACAGGCTTCATTCTTACCATGAGACTCAAATCTAGTGCAGAAGACAGATGTTCCTTGATTACAATGCAGTCATCCCACCCACCCCCACTCACCACTGGACTACCTCCCTATAAACTCACTGTAAGGAGGAAGTTCTGGGAGCCAAATAACACTTGAAGCCTAAGTTGTTGTACACTACTGTCTAGCAACACAGTACACAGTACAGAGCAACGTTTCCCCCCGATTATGGGGCTGGGATCTGTGGCTCACCGCCACTGCCCAGAACTGTAAGAAGAATCTCAGGTAGACAGTAAAGTGGTTGAACTCAAAGAATCTTCCTCACCCCTATTCCCAGCTCTTCTGCAGTCCTGGCCACCTGCTGCTGCATGCCTCCCCAGGCCAGCCACAAAGTGGGCATGTCCTGTGTCTAGTGGGCATGCCCTCTTTTGATGCATGCATCCACCTCAAGACCCAGGGAACAGGTATGGATCCAGATGCTCCAATGACTCCCCCAAAGCTGAATTCTCGTTTTCCACACCAGGAGGAATAGTGCCAGATTCACTTCAGATAGAGTGCTTATCATATGCCAAGCCCAGTGCCGGGTACCATGCATCCCAACATGAGTTTGGTATAGTCCCCATCATACCCATGAGGACACAGGAGGAACACTGGTTGTTGTCACATAGTCTGATGTAGGCCTGATGTCTGTTGGTGCTCCAAGGAGGACTACCTTATGTATCTGGGGTCGTCAAGAGTGCTGTGTAGAGGACAGGACCCTGAAGCTAGGTATGGATGGATAGGCTTACCCCAGGGAAAGGAGCTGAGGACAGGAGATGGGGACAGAAAAGTTCATAGGTAAATGATGACATTATGCACACAGGAGGAGTCAAGGAACCCAAGGGATGTGGGAAATATATCTTTTCTAAGTCTGAGGTCCTGATAGTCCTTCGGGCCTGAGAGGACTATCTACCAGCTTTCCACCTCAAGATATTGCTATCTACCTTTCAGCCAAGAGCCCAATTCCTGAACTTTTACCATCTTTCCCCAAGCGTATACCCAGCCATATCCTAGCAACCACAAGTGTTGTATATACATACCCCTTTGATGCTAAGAACTGACATTCACTGTGTGCTCAGAGAAATCTAGGCATCCAACCATTCATCTAGTGTGGAATGAGGCACCATTACACACTGGGACCCGGGGAAAGCATTCTTTCAGAATGCTACACACACTTGCCCTCGAGCTGTCTTTTGCCTTCCCCAACAGGAACTGAAAAATCAGACTATAAACCAGAAAAGTAAAGAATGTGAACGATTATGAATTTTAATGTTCAACCATATTATTTTAGAGATGAGAACGATAAGGTCCTAGGGGTAGAGAGACCCTCCAGGGTCATACCCACCCAGGATCCCACTGCCCATATGCCAGAGCTGGGAACAGACTCAGTTTCAACCCTGAGCTCCTATTTTGGTTTTTAGCATATTGACCATAATGCTTGTGCTCCATGAAGCAGAATCCAAAAATGCCACGCCCATCACCTCATCACTACATAACATAGCAGTCACAGGAAAAGCCCACTTGACAGTTGATGCATATAAGAGAAAACCTGATGTGAACAAAAACATAGAGCCGCACTTCCCAAAAGAACAGGCTCCGAGGCAGCTCCTTTGCTTGCCTCCCTTTCTTCCCTATCATCTGGACTCATCTTTCCAGACATGATACCCAAGCCTTCCGGGAGCTGAGTTGAGCACTGGTCAGCACTACACATCTGGTCACCAGGATTGAGTGAAGTCAGTGGGGTGAGGGAAGGGTCCAGGCTGAGCCTAATGAAGAAGGGAAATGAAGGAGAAAATGCATTTCAAATCCTGCCACCAGTTGGGTGGGTCCCTGAAAAGAGTGACTCATGTTCCTCACGTTGTCGTTCTGTCTCAACTCCATTTGATGGGTTTTAAATTTATCCTTCATTCCGACAATGTTTAAATGTCTCTCCCCCACCGTGCACATGCCTGCGCCCCTCCCCTGACAGCTCCCACTCCCTCGCCAGGCTTTAGCACCTCCAGCAACTCCAAGTATTCTTGGACTCTGGTCTGCAGTCTCCTCCCCCTCTTTGAGCCCATTGTAGCCGAGCCTCCCAGGCCACTAGCTCTCCCAGGGCAACCAGAGGCCAGGAGCTGGCTCTGCGTCTCTGTCTCCCAACCTGCCCCCATCCTTCCTGGATTTCCCTTTCCCAGACACTTTGCCAATCTGAATCACATCTTTGCCAGAATTACAACAGTAATAATATGCACGATAGAGCTCTGGCTTCAACAAAATCAATTTACAAATATCAAAACAAGAAATTATCTCATCTTTCCCTTAAGAATTCCTGTTAAGCAACCCTTCTATTATTGATATAAAGTGCTTCAAGGGAATCTGTCGCCCCCACCGCTGCCAAGGTGGCCAGTGCCCTGCTCTTGCTATTGTCACGCTCAGAGAATATCTTCCCTATCTAACAATTCATAAGAGACAATCTGCATCTTCTAGGGAAGGGCATCTAACTCTAACCTATTCTTAGCCCTCCCCACCCCCACTCCCAAATGCTGTCTTTCCTTGAGTTTCTTGAAATGAAGAATTCTATCTTGTTTATATCCCCACCTGGTACTGAGTTCAACACAGAATAACCGCTCAGGTGGCCATTGCAGCTGTTTCCCCAGTATTCTTGTTGTCCCTGGCCCACAAGAACACAGTAGGAAGCACCTTTTGGCTTCTGTTGGTTGAGTGGGGCTGTGTAATGCATTGAATTGTGAATAGAAGTCATGACAGTTTTAATGAGAAATTACCCTCGCAGTCTCGGGTATTTGAATTCTTGGTCACAAATTGATGGCTCTCTTTGGGAGGTTTAGAGGTGTGACTCTGTTGGAAGTACATCACTGGAGATAGGCTTTGAGAGTTTAAAAGACATCTGTCATTTCAAAGCTGCCCTCTGTTTTGTGTTTGCGGTTCAAGACAGAAACCCTTACCCGGCAGTGGTGGCACACACATTTTAATCCCAATACTCAGGAGGCACAGGCAGGCAGAACCCCAAGGCCAGCCTAGTCTACAGAGCAAGTTCCAGGACAGCCAGAACTACACAAAGAAACCCCATCTTGAAAAGCAAACAAACAAAAAAAAAAGATGTAAACTATTTTTTCTTTAAAAAAATAGATTTTTTTCAGATAATATATTCTGATCATAGTTTCTCCTCTCCTGCTCCTCCAGATTCCCTCCCACACAGAGTCACAAGCAGGCATCTAAGGAATAATAATACAGTAGATAAAACAAGGACACACAAACTGGAATAGGACCAAACAACCAAACAAGAAAGAGAGCCAAAGGAAAAAAAAAAAAACAACAAGAAATACATATAGACAGACACACACACACACACACACACATATTTGCACACACAGGAATCCCATAAAAACATAAAACCTGAAGCTATAATATGTATACAAAGGACCTGTAAGGTAAGGTAAAGGAGGGAGAGAGAGAGGGAGGGAGGGAGGGAGGGAAGGAAGGAAGGAAGGAAGGAAGGAAGGAAGGAAGGAAGGAAGGAAGGAAGGAAGGAAGGAAGAAGCCCCCCTTTAACATTATAAGACAAAGAACCTCCAGCAACACTGTTGAGTTTGTTTTCTGCCAGCCATCTACTATTTGACATGGGGCCGACCCAAGAGTACTTTGTTTTCCTACTGAGACTCCTCTCGCCTTCCAGCTCCAGCTGCTATCAACTCTGCCGTGATGGATTCTCATCCTCTGGAACCGCGAGTCCAAACAAACTCTTTATTTTACACCTTGCCATGGCCGTGGTGTTCTATCACAGCAACAGAAAAGAGACTGATGTGAAAGTGACCTGTATCACTTCACAAGAGGCAGTTAAACGTCAGTGTGGACTTTCTAAAGCAGACATTGGCAAAGCATTTGAGGCTTTGCAGGTCTTGCAATCTCTGGTGCAACTACTCAAACTCTGCTGTTAGAGCACAAAAAGCAACCTAGCAACATGTAAAGAAATAAATGGTCAAGACCGTGTTCTAATAAAGCTTTATTTGGGGGCTAAAGAGATGGTTCAGTTGGTAAAGTGTCTGTGGGACCAGAACAAAAACCTGACTTTGGATCCCCAGCACCTTGATACAAACCAGAACACAGTGTACGTACCTATAATCATAAGACTGGAGAAGTAGAGATGGGAGAAGGCCTGGGGCTTGCTGGCCAGCCAGTGTAGACAAACTGGTAATCTCTGAATTCAGTGAGTGACCCTATCTCAAAACACAGGGCGGAGGGAGTGGAGGAATGGCTCAGCAATTAAGAATGCTTGCTTCTCTTGTAGAGACCCAGAGTTCAGTTCCCAGAACCTGAGTCTAGAAGCTCATAACTACCCATAATTCCAGTTCCAGGAGCTCTGATGCCTTTTTATGGCCCCTTTTTCTATGGGAAAACACACATGTGGCAAACTTACATATGGCTAAAAATAAAAAAAAAAAAACTAAAAGGCACAAAGCACACACACACACACAGTATGCATAAAGTTTTTTATGTATTGACAGTTCCACTGTATCTTGTATCTTTTGGGCTCCATCACTGTCATTCAATCCGAGCCCATAAGTGGGATAAATGGAGACCCGGAACAGAATCCACCGTGGGCAGAGCATGTGAGAAGCTAATCTGCCATATGTGGTCCTAACCACAGCACCCTAATGGGAAGAGGATACACTGCTGCTCAGAGATACTGGCCTGAGCAGGAGCTAGTGGCTGCTTGGAGGCCCT